GGAGGGTGCTGGCCCCTGCTGGAGGCCTGCATACCGCAGCCAGTCCCCCAGCCTCCTGTTGAGCAGGTTGGCCTGGTCTGTAGGGGGCAGGGGATAGTGCCATGGGAAACTGGGCCAGCCCCACGGACTTGAGCTGCCCAGTGCCCAGGTCTTTCTGGAAAACGGCAGCTCCCAACAGAATCCTGCACCTCCCACACCCACTCAGACACAGCTCCTGTCCTACTGTCCCCGCCCCTGCCCCCCTGGTTCGGGCTCATCCTGGTTCTGCAACCCAGGCCTCTCAGGAAGGCGGGTACCTTCGTGGAGGGTGCCTGGGGCGAGGCTGACGACCTTGGACACGACCGGGAGGAGGGGCCGCAGACTGGGCCCCTCAGGCTGCCGGCTCTCGAGGACTTTGAAGACACGCTGGCCCACACTGCTGACCTGCGCTCTGTCCCCCTACAAATTAAACACAGGCGGGGCAGGAGGGAAGGGCCATGCCCAAGTGCCTGGGCGACAGGTCATTTGGTCTGAAAACATCTAGAAAGGGGAACTGTTAACATCATTAATGCTATAATGCCACCTCTTTGAGATGTCTAGGGGTGTCACTCGGGCAGCCCAGGCCCGATGGCCTGGGTTAGCCTTCACGGTGTCCTGACTACTTCCCCAGGGACCAGGGAAAGGACAGACGGGGAGGGCGAGGGGCAGGGTTTCTGCTCGGTCCCGATGCATTAGAGCGTGGGCTCTGCCAAGATGGCCGTGCAGACTGGTGACTGAGCGGAGCCCACCCACAAGGGGACCACACACCAGCAAGCTGCTTCTCCTGGGGCCTCAGGGCAGGCCACCAAGGGCAGGGTGGCCAGCCTGGGCGGTGACAGTCACACTACCTGGGCCAAGAGCACAGAGGCCACCAGGCTCAGCTGCCGCGTGTTCTGGATGCAGTCCCAGGGCAGGTGCAGGCTGATGCAGGGCGCCATCTCTCTCAGGACGGCGGCACAGAGAAGCTGAAGCTGCTCGGGGCTCGCGGGCTGCAGCAGCGTGGTCTGCAGCAGGTCCACGCATGTCTTCTCCAGCCTGAGCGACGGGACCACAGAGGGCATGCGCCATGTCACACCGTGGCAAGAGCACCCGGCCCCCAGCACTGCTTTCTGACCCCAGGGAAGCGGCCTGGTCCCTTGGGCAGGTGGAGAGAACTTTTATATTTGAGGACTGTCTTTAGTAGTTTGAGGGGACACAGACTAAAACGCCACCTGCCGGGCACACCCAAAGACGACATCACTCACTTCCTGTTATATTTGGTGGCCGCGATGATGAGGAAAAGCCTCCGCAGGGCCTGGGTGGCATCAGGCCCTGAGTCTTCCTTCTGCAGCAGGTGGCTGACTCGGGAACAGAACTTCGCCAGCTCCTCAGCTTGGATCTCCCTGAACCAAGAGGACGTTGTCAGCGGCTTGGCATTGAGAGACCATATTGGGGGCCCCCGAGTGCTGCCCTGAGCTACGAGGGTGGCTCTCGGACACAGGGAAAATCCCTCTGAGCAGAGGGAGTCCCGGGTGTCACGGGAAGAAGGCAGTTCCGCCATCCGCACGCCTCTCATGACGAACTAGTTGATGGGTTGTCCGACCCAGTCCCTCTCCCTGGGGTTTTGCTGGACAGGGCTGTTGGGACATCATCACCCCCATATATGATGACAATAAACCTTCTTGACGGATACTCCACACATTCTGGTTTCCTTCCAGGGGCGGAAGAACTAAGACGGGTTGAGTTTAGGAGTCAGAATTTAACCTGCAATAAGTGGCTCTTCGAGATGCATTCAGGGAGCCTTTACCTTCTGGGAACGAGAGGTAAACCTAACAGGTCAAAGGGCAAAGGCTATGACACACTGCAAGGCTAGCCTGTCATAGTGCCTGACTCTAATACTTAATTCACTCACTAACTAAAAATGCCCGCGCTCTGAGCACTGGCAACAGGTAAGCTGCTGAAGGGTCTGGAAACTGCTTGTAGGCTTCTGCTCCAGTGCAAAGGGCAAGAAAAAATGACATGCCAGTGAGCCAGTACACTGGGGGGTTCTTCCAGGGGGCTCTTGGCGGCCGTGCCCTGCCATGTGCCCACCCCGAGCCGTGGCTGGAGTCCACTCAGTCCCTTTTCAACTGATCAGATGTGTGAGCCCAGGACTCTTGAACTGAGGCAGGCAGGGTGTCCCTGGCCTCTGATGCTGACAAGGTGTGACAAACACCCAAAGGTGGGGCCCTAAGGCAGCTTCTTACTTGAAGGCTGGCAGACAAATCCCAATGGATTCGCCTCTGCCCCTCACCTCCCTTCCAGGCCCTTCTTCCAGAGGCCTGGTCCAGGTGTGTTTTTCCAACTGGGGTGATGATACTGAGGGAGAAGCTACTGGGCTGCCTCGTGATTATAATAGAGACTCTTTCCCAAATGGTGCTACGCCTCATTCCCAACCAGCCCCTTCCAGTGCGGTCTCCGAAGCACAGGGTTCTTCCTAAACGGCCGATCTGTGCCACCCCTTCCACTGCTCCTTGCTGCTCTCAAACCCAAACTCCTGCAGCCACCAATGAGGCTTCCTGGACCCTGGCCCTGCCTTACGTCCCTGGGAGCCACCAAGTTTGTCCCTCCTGCTTCTGACCCTCCCCCTGAAATACTCATGCTCAGCTTCAGATGAGCCTTGCCGTCCTCCCGGAAACCTCCCAGACCTTGCCGCACGCCCTTCCCCACGCGCCCCCACATCCGAAACCCACTTCCATCACCTCTTCTCAGCTTACAAGAGATATTTCTGATAACTTTCCATCTTTGAAAGATTTGGATATTAAAATTCACTCCCAATCCTGACTCCCAAAACTTAGCAATATAAAGTGAAGACGGATAGCTAGTAAATTTCCCCCAAATCCTAGGTGATGAAAACTGTATAAATGTTATTCACACCCTCCATCCACCTGTCCACCTAAGACAGAGACAGAGGAGGAAGAGTTCAAACAGTGAGGGCCATTCCTTCCGCCTTTCAGTCCACAAACACACGACCTTAATTAAGTAGGAGGTGACTCGGGAAACTCAACGGAGCCCTGAGTGGTCCTCAGTTCTTATGTGTCTGTTCGTGAGATCTCTGTAGCGAGCATGTCATGTGATGAGTGAGGAGTGAGTGTTTAAAGAGATCTATTGGTATTTTCATTTAGTACAGCCCCCAAAGTCAAGTGGACTTGGATTGAAATGTGGGAACCTGAACTGCCACGTTGGGGCTTGAATTTTGGAGAGCCTGCCCAACACTGAAGGAAAGGCAGGCTCTGCTGGCTTATCGGGAGACGGGGCTGCAGATTCATGGAGCACTCCCCACGGATTTTCAAGGGTTATGTGACCACAACAGATTTCTACCCTCTTCACAGCCTGTAGAACCGAACCTGCATTCAAGATCTCTCCACTAGAATCACAGCAGCCTCAATCGGCATCTTTCCCACCAGCTGGTCCAGCAAAGAACCCCATTTTCTTTTCTTTCTTTGTTTTTTAAAAAAGTTTACCAGGGGCTGGTGGTTTTCGCTGCATTTTCCCCTTATAAACAAGTAGCATCGAGTCTGATGGACGGCGGGGTTTTAGTCCCCCCACTACCGGTTAGTCGGTGAGAAAGGGGCTAGCAGCTGGTTAGTGAGAGTCCAGAGCCAGAGCGGGGCAGAGGGCGGTGGGCAACTTCTCAACCCCCCACCACACCCCGCAGGAGAGCCATGCCCACGGACAGGCCCCAGACAGCACCCAGCTCCCAAGCTGGGCACCCACACCTCGTCACGACTCCATGCCCACCGGCCTCTCCGTGGCTTTGTGCTCCTGATCTTGGTGCAGCTGAGTCGCAGCCGACAGCTTCTGGCTACCCTGCTTCTAACCTAGCAATCGGCGGGAACCCAGCCCCTCTGCATTCCCACTCATCCCCACCTCCTCCGGGACCGGCTCCACCCTCCCCGGAGCTCGCCTCTCCAAACCCGGCCGGCGAGGCCTCCCGACCAGATGGGCTCCCTGGCTCGCTGGGCCCCGGCCCCCTTTGAGACCCCCACCAGGCTCCCCGAAGAAATACGCGGGCACCTGGCCTGGCGGAGCAAACTCTCCACTGCTGCCGAGAACATCACGCCTCCGCCGCCGCCTGGAGACGCGGCCCCAGCGATCCAGCTTCTGGCAACTCCGCAAGCCCCGCAGGTAGCGCGCCGGCTTCCGGGCGTAGTCACGTGCCACGCCTTTGGGCAGAACAGACAGGCCGCAGACCAATGGGATTTGGCAGAGCTTCGCGGGGCGGGGCCTCTGCACTCGGGACGGAGGCCATGGTTGGCTTCTTGGCACCTTTGGTAGCGAGACTCCGGGAACATCTGCCCCCGGCACGCGAGACTCGGGACAGCTTCCGATGGGCGCGCGGGGCTCCGTTCCAGGTTGTTTTGGGAACACAGCGCCGGGGGGTGCGGGTCGTACGTTCAGGACAACCTGAAAAAGTTTCAGGAGCCCAGCGGCTGTGGGCTGGAGCCCCGCCCAGCAAGGGGCGGTGACAGCTGCGGCAGGCGGGGGTGGGAGCGGGCGGAGGGCGCGGGCTACAGGGCGTTTGTAGGGAAAGCCTGCTGCGTGCTGAGCGCGGTGCATTCGAGAGCCCTTATAACCCGGGGGACAGCTCTGAGGAGCGTCATTGAGTACCAGTTGAAGGCTGAACTGTCTGAAGCCGAAAAAATGGTGAAGGGGGCCAAGTCACACCCTGTACGTGGAGGAAGGACCTGACCCAGCAACTGTATTCCAGGTCATCGCAGCCACTTCACCCACTGCCAGCCAAGGAGCAAGCAATCTGAGAGAATTGGTGCCTCAGAGGCCAAGAGACACAGAGGTCAAGTTTCAAGTGCTGTCGAGAGGCTTGATGACATATATTTGTGATAAACACTTTTATTACCCCCCCCCCCCAAGTCAGAAGCAGTGTGCAGGAGAAAGAAATACCCAAGCGTCATCTTGCGATAATTTAATTGTGAAAATGGCAGGCACTGTGAAGAGGCTGATTTCACCGCAGCTGATGTCACTGAATCCGCAGAACATGCTGTGGAGGTTGGGGTGCCCGCTCCGCATGTTAAGAAATGAGGCTTCTTGCAGGTTCAAGTCCCCCAGCTGCACCCGCGCCCCAGGCTGTCTGACTGCAGCGTCCTTGCCTGGCCACCTCAGTACCGGAACAACACGCAGGCAAGGACAGGGAGGCCCACATCTGCGCAGGTCTGCTTCTGGTGGGTGCCAGGGCCCACTGAAGCAGCTGTGCGGGCCTGGGAGCAGGGGGGCTCCCCTGGTTCGTCAGTGTCCCTGGAGCTGCAGGCCGATCTTCAGGGACCTCCTGCGAGTCCCGGACCTTGCGGTACCTCCGCAGATCACGTCCTTTGTCAGTTTGCCTCTTTCCTGGAGTGAGCCACTGGTCAGGCAGCTGAGGGGGACCGTCTGCCCATCCGGGTCTTTCTCCCAGCGGCCACTCACCCACAAAGACCGTGCTGAGCCTGGCTGTCATTGCTTTAATATATAATTTTATTTCCGGTTATAGAAACAAATGCTAAGAGGAGAAACAAAACTTCCCCATCCACATACAACAATTTAATAGATAAAAGAACAGTTAAAATAAGTGAAAAACAAAAAGTAGAAATTTTAAACTTTGTTATAGCTTTAAAACATTAATGTCTGATATAATTAGAAATCACATTCATATCTCAAACTTTTAAAAAAAAGTATGGCTCCTTATTAAAAAAATACTGTATCCCATTAGAAATGGAAACGCAGGCTGGCCCAGCCACTGTGGGTCTGTCTGTCTTCGAGATGGTAGCGCTGGCTTCCTGCCACCGAAGGGGGTGGGTCTGCCCGCCTTCCCGGGTTTCCCAGCCCAGACTTTGCTCACAGGTGGTGAAACGTCACGACGTGACCTCGTCTCCACACCCAAGGCTCTAGAACCTAAATTTCCACTTTATAGGATACCACGGATACTCTTAAAGCATTGATTATTAAACGTATTGTAAAAAACACTTTAGACAGCCACTGTAAAAAAAAAAAATACACACGCTCGCACACACTGCCCTAACAGCACCCACCCCCCCCACATTACCTTTACAGGAGAATTAGCAGTGTGGTAAGAAAAAAAAAATCAGTATTGGGTTCAGTTCTCCCTCACGTGCGCCCAGCCGTGGGGTCTGCCCTCGGCTACTCTGAGACAGTCTGGGGTCCACTGTCTCCCCGCTGCCCCCCACCCGCCCTGACAGAATTTGAACTGAGTAAATTAAGATGCACCGGGAAGGAGGGAAGGGCCAAGCTTAAAATGTTTGAGTTCAAATCCCATTTTTACTGATGAAAAGAAAAAAAAAAACCTGGACCAGTGAACACAAAATGTGCAGGCTGAGAGCCTGAGGCCACAGGCTCAGTGTATTACCCATCAGGCCTTGCAGGGGGGAAACGTCCACTGCAGTCAGACTCCTTCCAGCTCGGCCCTGCGCAGGGGCCGGGCACGGTACGCCTCGGGCCCAGGAAACAGCCCAGCAGAGCAGGGCCTGTCTGCTGCAGGTGAACCTCCCCAGGAAAAGCGCATCTCGGGCCTGGCCTGCCCTCCACTGCTTATGATCTCAGACACGGAGTCGACCATCAATAAATGTGTGGATGAATCAAATTAGCAAACTATTCCCAAAAAGGTTCCTGAGTCAGGAATGAAGGACCAGAATTCTTCCACTTCTGTGTTGACTCAGAATAACTGGGTTGGGGCAGAAAGGCGAGAGTAACTCTCTGGTCACCCTCAGAGGTGATGTGGTGACTGAAACCTGGGGAAGGTGACCTGAAGCCACCTGCTCGTGGGTCCCATGCAGCCAGCAGCACCCGGTCAACCACAACAAGGATGCTCGCTTGCTGCCTCCCGCTGGCCCCAGAGTTTTTTTTCCCATTTTCCCAGTGGCTGCCAGAATGACAAGCAGGTGGGTCTCCCCCTGGCGAGAGAGGTGCCTCGAGGTAAAGTGACTGCTCCCTTAACTCTCCACTGAAAGAGCGGGCAGCAACATCAGCATTAGGATGAGCCCCAAGGCGCATGAATTCAAAGAAGAGATTTTCATTTCGGCCCTGTGGAAAAAGGCAGACACGCTCGTCCCTGGTGGCAGCAGAGCCTCAGCGAGCCCCTAGTGCTCCCCCTGACGAAGGTCACCTGCAGGAGGGCCTCCTGTCACTGACCAGCTGGAGCCCAACGCCCCCAAACAGGCCTGTGAAGCCTGCAGGGTAAGGAGATGGCTCAGCAAGTGACCCTCCTTCCCTTTTATGACTAAAACCATTTTCTCTGAACAGTGAAATGGGCCTATTTCTTATTTCAGTTCTGAAGAAGTGCTTGGGGTTGTACCCCCGAATCCCAGCCCTGAAGCAGCTGTCACCCTGGGTCAGGTGGCCGCGAGGACAGGGGGAGCAGCAGCAGTTCTGGAGAGGACAGCAGCGCTCCTGGGCCCCTCGTGGCCCGGGCGGACTCGGCCACCAGTCCGGGGGCAGGGATGGTGCTGCCCGCCACCCCACAGGGGCCGCGGTGCCGCCGAGGCACCCACCAGCACCAATCCAGCCCCTCCCTCGACACCAAAGACAGAAGCTTTGGCGTGAAACGGAAAGGCAGGCGGCGGGGTTGTGCGCCAAACCTCTGAGCTGCGAGCATGGGGCCAGAGCCGCATCCTGAGTGCTTTCAAAACCCTAATGTGGAAAACAAGGCCTCGGGAAAGGAGCTCTGAGAATGAAAGGGATTGGTAAAACACAGGAGAACGATCTGGAAAGATGGACAGAAACCGGCCGAGTCCTGGCCTCGCCCGAGCCGCCGTCCCCACCGGCCGCCTTGCAGGTCAATCCCGTCCTCATAGCAGCACGTCTGAACGACTTAGGTTATTCTGAGTACAGAGTGTCCCTTCCAGGCAGAGGTATCGTGGAGGGGCTGCAGGGAACACTTCATCAGAAGGCCGGCGGGAGCCCCTGCGGCGGCCCAGACGCGCGTCCGGGGTGTCAGCCAGCCGCTCTGGCTCTTCTCCCTGGCGGAGCCTCACACTCATTTTTGGTAACTTACTCTAGAACAAGTAGTGCACTGTGTACCCAGCATCGGGACAGAGGCAGTTTACGTGCACAGCGCCCTGAAGTGCGTCCGGGGGAGCTGTTCTCAGGGGGTCGGGGGTGCAGAGGCCGGCTGTGGGTGTGAACCCCAAGATGGTGACAGTCCTTCTCCCCCAGCATCACTCAAGGGCAAAGCAGAATGAGAAGCTTTTGGAGAAAGACAGGCCATTCGCCTGCACCAACTGTGCCGGCTGACGTCTGGCACTGAAGCTCAAGGACACGCCCTTCTCCGGCCTGTTTACTTTCAGCGAGGCTTCGATTTTCCAGGGAGGTCTGCTCTCTGCCTCCATAAGGTGAGAAACCCAGCCCTGAGCCAAGGAAACCCCTCCTCCTCCTTTGGGACTCTGAACTACGAGGGGCTCCGCCCACAGAGAGGGGGTCCCCGCAGAGCCCCCTGCAGACGGAGGGCCTTCCTAGAAATGACAGCGGTAGTGGAATGACCCTGTGACCTCTGCCCGTTCTTTCACCAGGACCAGGGAGGCACAGACAGGGACCCGCAAACCCGGTCCCTCCTGGCCGACAAGCACCGAGTCCTCACTGGAGTGACTCGGAAACCCTCTCACCTTCTCCCGCGTGGCTTGGTTCTGAAACAGAGACAGAAAATACAAACAGCAAGCCCCACACCGGAGCCAAGTGGACCTGGGGAGCTTCCGTGTGGACAGATGCAGAGGTGTGCTCTCGGGGACAACCCTGTCACTCTCAACGTCACCCTACATTGTCTTGGTGGGAAACGCTCACCTACTTAAATGCCTTATTCTGTGACTTCTTCCCCGAGCAGAGTGTTTTTCTGCACTTGGTGCCAGGCGACGAGCCTGCGGGTCAGCAGGCCCCAGGCAGCGCGCGTGTGTGTGTGATTTTGGGGGGAGCTGCAGCAGCAGAGGCCCCATGGCCGTGCCAGCCCCTCCGACTGGCCCATCCCTTCTCCCAGACTCAGCCCCCGGGGCGACCAAAGAGAAGGTTCTCGGACCCTCATGCTGCACTGACTCAGGATTGTGCCAGAACTGACCGTTCGCTGCCCCAACTTTGGCTGGGGTCGCCTGCCCTCCACAGCCCATGCTCGGGGCAGGTCACAGGTCGCTGGACCCTGAGGGCCCTGGGCAACCTCTCCGGCCATGCCATGCAGCACCTCCTTGGGCGCTGGCCATCCCGGAGCCCCTGCTGACCAGTCCCAGGACACGTGCCGGCACCAGCCAGGCATGCTGTGCAGTCGGGGAACCCAGCTGTCCAGGGCTGTCTGCTGCGGACCAGAGCAGCAGCTTCCCCAGGGCCTCGGCCTCCCAGCCCCGCCCTGCCTGGCGTTGGAGCCGACCCCTCGGGGTCCCGTCTTGGTCCCCACAGGAACGGAGCTGTCTGCGTGGCAGAACGGCACCTAGCGGACTCCTGTGCTCCCCCCAGTCCCACACACCCACCTCTCCTCCCTCATCCCTGCACCTCTGGCTGCAGACTGGGGTCATCAGTGAGAACGGACAGAAAGACCACCTTGACAGTCAGGAAAGCAAGGGGCTGGGGCCAGACTGGGCAATGAGCCCAATGGCCGGCGGCCCCATCTGTGGACAGTGCAGCATCCTGAGGAGGCAAACCTGTGGTGGCGGCCGCCTGCGAGCAAACGCGTCCCCTGATTAAATGATAACGGAGCGACGGGCCCCTCGTTGCGGACCCTCACAGTGAGGCCTGTGGCTGGGAGGCAGGTCTGCCTGGGCCTGGCCCGTGCTCACCCGTCCCCACGCACACACACACCAGACTCGTGGTGAAGAGTTTGTAGTCACCATGGAATGGAGTGCGACTCGAGTCACCTGCAGCGGTGGCTGCACCTGAGGCCGCACGCCGGCTGTCTGCATCCCGTCTGTCCACCCGTCTGCCTGGACTTCGCAGAAGAGCTTGTTTCCCACGAAAGGGTTAGTGCCACAGAAACGCCTGGTCAGTCCGGGCGGAGGGTGCTCTGCAGCGTCCACAGCGAGCGGTGGTGGGGGGTGTGGGGGTCCTGGGGCCGGAGAGGGCGCTGGCCATGCCCACGCTGCCATCCGCCACCTCCATGGGAGCAGGGCACACTCGGTGTGCACGCTGGTCTTGCCCGCGCTGCCTTGAGATCACGCCCCGTGGCTCCCCTCCTCCTGAGCCAATGCCTGCCCACTGGGTCCCAGCTGGGAGACCGCCGGCTCGTCCTCTGGGGTGACCGGAGAGGCCGAGCTGCCCTCGGGGCTTAGTGCTAAGGGCAGGCAGCCTGCTGGTGAAGACGGAGGCTGAGGACAGGGAGGCTTTTCGGGCAGGAGGCCGGCCTGCCGGGACTGCCAAAGCTCCGCATTTGCTGTTTCTACATGTCCACTGCGGCAGGACCAGCACCTTCCCCAGAGGCCCCCTTGTCTTTCTTCCTGAGAATGTTCCCCACGAGCAGCCGAGAGGCTGGGCTGACCGCACACTGTGCAGGGGCCCGGACAGCTCGGGCTCACCCCCTGCCCCCTCATTCTCCCCAGATGCACACAGGCCCTGCCACGCCAGGGAGAGCCGGGCGCAGGAGGCGCGGCCCGCCCCACGCTGACTGACCCCAAGTCCCCGGTGCTCGCGGGTGGTAGAGACCACTTGGTGAAGCGGCAGAGAGCGGCTCTACTCCGTGCTGGGTGTGCCACGGTGGCCACTGGCACTGGGGCGTCGAGACCACAGAGAGCGGGGCTGGCTTCTCGTGACGCGGGCGCGGGAGCACAAATGGCGGGAGGCCCAGGGCGGGAGCTGAAGACCGGACGTGCCCTCCACACAGCTCTCTGCCTCCAGTGCTGCCCGGGAAGCCGGTGAGCTCCCCTGAAGGGAGCAGAGAGGGCGGCGGATTCACCTTGCCAGGCCCACAGGCCCACAGCGGTCGCCCGCCTCCAGGTGGGAGCCCCCAAGACAGGTGGTTCCTCTGTGCGTCTCGGATGTCGGTGAAGCTGATTCCACGTTGCAAACAAACAAGAATTACTAGGGGTCCAAAGCCAAAAAGACCCCTCCCCGTCCCCATTAATGCCAATCCGATACTTCCCGGGTCCCTACGTCAGGGAGCGGACGCCATGAACCGTCAGAAGTCCGACTGCGCTTGCCTTTCCCGAGCCAGTTCTGGGCCACAGCAGACAGTGGTGGGCGTGGCCGCCCTGCCCTCCCCTTGGGGGGCCTCTGTCTGGGGGGTTGCCAGGGCGCAGGCTGCTGCTCATGGCTGGGGACCTGGGGGGCGAACAGTGCTCAGGGAGGGAAACAAAGAGCCCCAGAGTCATGCCATCGGCTGTCTGAACACGTGTTTATGTGTTTCTGTGCCGACTGCAACAGGGACAGGGGGACAGACGGCAGGGCGGGCGAGTGCGGGAGCAGGCGGACGGACGGCCGTCCTGTCCGAGTGGCACCGTGCTTCGGCAGCCTGGGGCTTTCTCTCCACGGTCCCAGGCGGTGGCGATGTCGGCCGTCGCGGTCCAGCCGCACAACCCCTTTCGGCATGCGTCCCACTCCACCTCCGCGGGTGCCGTCACTCCCCGGTCCCGGACCCCTGCGGGCCGGCAGCCGTGATCACCCCGGCCTGCGTGGTCCCAGTCCCACTGGGCTCCTCCAGCCGCGGCCTTTTGACTTCGGGCTCCCCGGTGGAGGAGGCAGAGGTGGCGGTGGTGGCTGGGGTGGCGGTGGTGGTGGCAGCAGCGGTGGCAGCAGTGGTGGTGGCGGCTGCTGCTGAGGCTGCCGCTGGTTCCTCGGGCCCCACCTCGCACACCCGGGTGACCACCACTGGCGTCGATGAGCTGGCCTGGGCCGCGAGGAGCTGCAGGGGGCTCGTGAGGGCTGGCAGAGGAGGAGAGACTGGTGTCGGGAGCTGGTCAGGACCCGCAGCCACGGCCCGCACGCCGGAGCCCACTCCCCAGGAGCCCTGGCGCCTCGGGCCGGAGCTACCGGCAGCCCCGGAGGTGCCAGTCCCCACCAGTTCCCACTGCAGCCGGCCTTCCTTTCTGGGGCTGGGCTACCGTCAGACCCCCCCGACCCTGTCCTCCCTCCCCTGCAGGGCACGCTGTCCCTGGTCCCTTCCAGCGTCCTCTCTCACTCTCCCTTCTCTGCGAGGCCCTGACCAGGGGCAGGTCATTAGCAAATGCTGCCTGTCCTGAACCATCCAACTGAGAACTGAAGCCCCACCCCCCCCACCCCCCTTCCCTGCTGCAGGCTGCTGGATGGCCCCCCTGGACCTCTGGTCTCGCCCGGCCAGGAGTGAGCTCTGTGACGGGGACTCTGCCCTTCTGTCACCACAGCACTGCTGCTCTGCAGGGGACAGTGCGGAGGGCTGGCTGGCTAACTGGGGAAGCGACCCCCCCGCGGCAGTGACTACAGGCTGAACCCCCAGCTTCGAATGCGGGCGCAGGTCAGCAGGCCTCACCATAAGCGCTGCTGGCTAAGCTGCTGGTGGGGACGGCATGCTTGCCATTCTGGGTGATGGCCCGGACGGGCAGGTGGTGCTGCCCGATGCTCACAGGGGCTGCGGGCTGCAGGATGGCCACCGTGTGTCCGGGGACCCCTGGGGCCACCTGGCTGGCCACTGTCTGGATGACTCGGCTGGCGGCGGGGATGGTGGCAAACGCGATGGTGGGCTTCTCCTCCGCGCCTGTGGGGGGAGGGTGCGTGAGGCCTTGGCTGAGGCAGACGGACGGCCGTCCACGGGGACAGCGGGCGGGGGCCTTTCAGCGCCGCTGGAGGGGCGAATCCCCCCCCACAGAGGGTTTTAGACAAAGTTCCAGTAGCTTCACCCTCGTCCAGACCTGAGGTCACCCAGGAAATAAAATGTGTGAACCTGAGTGAAATGGTTTGCGTGTAGGGCCAGGCTGTTGTCTTTTACCCAAACGCACCTGTCACTTGACAGTGTCGGACGCGACGCTGAGATGTGCCAGTGGGGGTGGGGGGAGGGGAACGGGGGCGGGACAGCGGAGGTGCTGCTTCTGCCGTGGGGTCCTGCTGGGCCCCGCCGTGTGCCTGCCCCGCCTCGACCTACCCGTTGGACCTGCGACCCAGGGTTCCAGTGTAGGACTCTGTAACTACTCTTTACTGTGATTTCTAAGGGCTTCTCACTGAGGGCTTGGGAGGACTCATCCTCCGGACCCCAAGTTCAGGCAGAGCCCCTCTACCCAACTCAGTGTGACCGTGGGGCTCTGAGCACCTGAAGCCCCGACTCACGAGGACAAACTGTTTCGGAGACTGCACAGTGCTGATTCCAAAGGACAGACTCCCTGAGAAACAAGCAGCTGGGAGGAGGGGCAGGAGGCCGAGAGCCATCGGCTCCAGAGACAGCCTGTGCCCTGACACTGGGATCCATAGCCCCCAAGACCCAGGGTGACAGCCTACCTTCCGGTGGCCCAGCCAAGTGACCACTCGGCTCCTTACCTCTTGCCTCACTGCCCAGGTCCAGCACGGCTGTGCCTGCTGCTTCGTGGGCACCCCCTGCCGAGGCCTGGCTGGCGAGGATGTACCCGTTGGCGGAGCTGGCGGAGGAGGTGACCACCCTGAGCATGGTGACAGGGGGGGCCTGCTGCACAACGTGGATCGCGTGGCCGGAGGGCTGCTGGGCCGTCACTATGGACGCCGGCATGTAGGCCACGGGCTTGGCCACTAAACTGGGGGGCCGGGGCGGCACGGCCACGATGACGGGCTGGGCGCCGACCGGAGAGCCTGCGTGGAGAGGGGGGGCTGTCAGCAGGCTCCCCGCACCCCGCCCCGGCAGACACAGGGACGAAACCACTCTTACCGGGTGCACTTTGGGAATACCGATACTCTGGAACTGAAGCTAACTTTGACCCAAAGTCGGGGTCGTGAGGAATGGGGGAGCCCTCCCGAGACAGGCACTCTGGAGTCTGCAGGCCACTAGAGCGAGGGGACATCAGCCCAGGGTGGGTGGGTGAGGCCGGAGCGCTCCTAAATGCAGGGAGAAGGGACCATGGAAGTGAGTGTGGGCCCAGGGAGGACAGGAGATGAAGGCCGAGACTCGCGCAGCCCGGCCCCACCCCTGACGGGCCTCATGCACGAACACCACACTGCGTGGCTCCAGACACAGCCACGGTTCCAGTGCTCACTCCCTGGAGGGACCAGCTGTCCCCCAGGGAAGTGGCCACGGCCTCGTGGTGACCACGTGAGCCCTTGTGGGACCGGCACAGACCGCCCCAGGATGAATCCGCACCAAAGAGGGCGGAGCAAAGCAGCCTCGAGCAGGAAGGCAGGGCTGTTCCCGGAGGCCCGCCCACCCTCCGCCTGAAAGCCACGCCCACGGCACAGGGGCTGCCCCGCTGTGAGGGCCCCAGTGCGGCCGCCTGGGGAGGTCGGGCTCACCTGGATGACAGAGGCCCGAAGGGGGTGCGGAAGCAGGAGACGCCTCTCTGCCTCCGTTTCCGGAAGGCCTGCTCCACCAGCTTGGCTTCTGAGGCAGGGTCTATCCTCCAGAAAGATCCCTTCCCAGGCTCCTCCTGGGAACGGGGCACTTTAATGAAATAGCGGTTCAAGGAGAGGTTGTGTCGAATGGAATTCTGCAGGCAAGCAGAGGCAGTCGCCGGTCACTGGGGAGCCAGAGAGCAGACCCTGCCCGCCCGCACCAGAGCAGCACAACCGAGACCAAGGTGACCGGAGCCAGGCACGGTGGCGGCCGGGCTCCCAAGGGCTGGCCGGGGTAACTGTCCTGTGGGGAAGTGCAGAGGTGACTCGGGTCAGCATCACTACCATTCTTTATAGACAGAGCAGGACAGAAAGACCAGCCGCAGTCCAGGGGTGTGTGCCCAAGTCGAACCCGCACAGAGCCCGCTGGCGGAGGGGAGAGAAGCCAGGGAGACAGGCAGATGCGTGGGACTTGCTGGCCGAGCCGAGAGGACGAGGGTCATACGATCGCACACAAACACACCCACAGCTTGCACACGTGGACGACCAAAGGTGATGTGACTGCGATGCACAGAGCCGGCGAGTGGAGGAGGCAGGTATGGCCGCCCGGTTTCTCCAGAGCTGGGGGAGCGGCCTGGTGCCCGGGCGCAGCCCACTTCCGATGTCCTCCCTGCGTCCTCCTTTCTGAGGAGGCCGCCTCGGAGCCACCCCGGGCGCGCGTGGGCCTCACCTGCCAGCCCTTGTCCGCCGTCCTGTAGTAGGGATAATGCTTGGTGATGTGGGCATAGATGCCGCTTAGTGTCAGCTGCCGGTCCTGCGCCGAGGAGATGGCCTGCACGATCAGCTGCGCGTAGGAGTACGGCGGCTTCGACTCGTCCTGCGGGGAGCGGCAGTGCTGGAGCCCAGGTGTACCCCCACAGCCGACCCGCCCGCGCGTCCCCTCCCAGCGAGAAAGCTTGTGGTGAGGGCAAGAGGTGGACAGCGCATCTGCTTACACCAGACCCAGCGTCCTGCGCGGCCCCGGCACGTGCTTGCTTAACGGAGGGAGGGCTGCTTCTGCCCCATGGGAGGGGAAGTGAGGGTTTCGTGGTGATGTCCCACGAAAGGAGGGAAGTGAGGGAAATGCCTCACCTCCTCTACAAACTGGCTTTAAAATGTATCACGATTCATTCCTATGTCGTCTAATGAACTAAGTAAACTAACACAGTAGAAATGGACTCCTAAAGAAATGAGAGTCTCAGCGGGGAGGGGGTTAGGGGTGGGTGAAGAAGGTGAAGGGATTGGGCATAAACAAATAAGTAAATAAATAAAGGTGCACAGATTTTCAACTGTGCAGGGACTCAGTACCCCCAACCCAGTGTTGTTCAAGGGTCAACTGTATCACTTAAAATGAGTGCACTGGATCTATGTGAATTATACTTCAAAAGTCAATGATAATAAACTTCACTGAAATACATTTTTTTTAAGTTGTCAGGTGGTCAAGAACTGACATAAACTGTTGCTCCTCTCAAGTCTGTTCGGTCAGCAGCAGACGAGAGGAGGAGAAACGGCAAGGAAGCATCACGGGCCTCTGCGCATGACCACATCCAGCAAACAACGTGCAGGAGGCGCCCCGGGAACCGGAGCTGGAGGCCCCGCCCGGCCCCGCCCGCTGACCGCGCGGCCCAGGGCCCTGAGAGCTGAGACCTTGGGGCTGTCTCCTCCGGATGTGTCCGCCTGCTGCTCTGAGGCGGCCTTCGCGGCGAACTCTGCGGCCAGCTGCAGGTCTGAGGTCACATTCTGGACGAACCGGTAGCCGGAGGACCCAGCTCCGCGTGGACTTGCCGGGCAGGAGTTGGGAACACTGCAGAGAGAACGGACACGCCCTAAGACGCGATCCCGAAGCGCAGGACTTGGCGGAGAACACAGGGCCTCCCCGATGGCAGAGAGGTTAACGGCGGTTTCCCGTTCTCTGCGTTACTACAACAGCGCTGCCGGCTCTGGATAAAGGATGGACCAGTTACTGCCGGTACCAAGATGCTTGCCTGCGGCGCAGCCCCGGGCCTGACAGGCAGGTGGCGCTGCCGCGGGCCGCCTGCTGTCCTGTGCTCACTTGTCCACACGGGGGTGCCCTCGGCAAAGGTCAGAACCCGTCCCGCTGGTTGAAAACCTCGGGAGAAGGTGGGGACAGCTCTCCCCGGCCACAGCCAGGCTGCCTCACTCTCCCCTGAGCTGCGGAGAGAGTCCCAGGCTGAAATCGCGACCACATATGTGGCTGAAACATCCCCCGCCACTCCTCTGAGGCTGCTCCCACCTGAAGCCCAGGGCTCCTCAGGCACTGTGGCCACCAGGCCTGCTCCGCCATCCAGCCCCCGGGGACTTGACCCCCCTGTCCCGGGCTTGGGCCTGCTTCCTCTCAGTAACATGGTGCACTTCGCTTATCAAACCGCATCAGAATACTGGCCCTAAAGTTAATTCTATTACAAAGTACTCAGAGGAAACCAACAAAAGCAGTAAGAGCGGGTAACAAACCCAGGTACAAAGTGCCCTGGGGGGGCTGCCCAGAGCCCGTGGTCACCTGCGGGTGTGAGCGCCTCCACGCAGCCCCATGTGGGGCTCTCCCTGAACATGCTCCGTGCGGGGCTGCGGACTGCTCTGCCCGCTCCAGCCGAGCACTGTCAGTGCCCCTCCTGGACGGAGCTCCGGGCCTTCCTCTGGAGCATGTGGCCAAGGACTGTCCCCCAGAAACACGCCACCCTCCTGGAGGTGAACTCAGGTCCAACTAGGGGGCCTGCGGGTCTCACCTGGTGTGAGATGGGAGGGCCCTACAGGTGGAGGCGGGTCCTGGGCTGGCTTGGAGCCATGCTGCCTGCCCCCCACGGCTCTGCTGTCAAAGGTCGGAGAGAGTTCACGTCCAAACCTCCGAGGGCAAAATGCCCCTCCCACGGAACCATCTCTGATGGAGTCCTTCCCACAGAAGTACAGGACAGGCTGTGGAGCTGGCTCACAGGGAAAGGGCGGGGCAGCCTGGGCCCCTCTCTACAGAGCTGCTGTCGCACCCTCTCTGGTGACGCTGTGGCGGGGACAGGGCACACTGGGCTGTCCGGGGGACGTGCCGTTGCACACACGGCCTTTCTGGCCTCAGAACAGATGGCTTCTCAATGGGCCTCACTCAGTGGCCCGGTGGCTGGCTCACAGGGCCTGGCCCCACTGCCCCGCCCCACACCTCCCAGTTGGGGGAGGGGGCAGGCCACGTGCCACATGGGCCGGGCGTCTCAGGGCTGCCGATGCTCAGCTCAGAGCCTGGCCTTGGGCGTGGAGGAGCTTCATCCTGCTCCGCTCACGCTCCCTGACTGTCAGTGACATGAGGCTTCTTAGAGTGCAGACATGCACACATGTCCCTGGAGGGGACGGGATGGAAGACATGCTATGCCCTCCTGGGACACCTGCCTTAAGCAAAGAACTGCTCCCCTCAGGGGGACCCCTAACTGCCCAGGCATGTGGGAAGTCTGAATTTGGGGTGCAGTAAAGCAGTACTGGATGTCACGTGACTCGAATGCCCCCCCGGACTTTAGATTGAAGGTGGATGTGAAGGCGAACATGCATGTTAAACTGGCAGTCGCCGATCCCCTTTTAGGAGAAATGATCTAATGATCTGAAGTCACGTTTCTGTTTTGAGTCTCCAGTGGCAACCCTTCAAGGCCAGCCTGTCCTGCCAGCAGCCACTCTGGGTTGGGGCGCTGTCTTGCTAGGACACACCCATGTTGGCCCCAGGACAGCCCAGACCTAGAATGTGACTTCTGTGACCGTCCACGACACACCCAGCGATGTCTGCACCTTGTCTGCAATATTGGAACAGAATGAGAGCAGACAGGGTGACTGGCCCCTCGAAAGCTCACCGCAGACATAACCTGTGCTGTGGACACACGGGAGTCCGAGCTTGTCCAGGGCACATTGTGTACGAAGGGTCAGAGGTCAGGACAATGTTAGCTCCTTAGCAGCAGCACCTGAAGCTAGAAAATGATGTAAATGACAAGGAAAAACCTCCCAGCTCGGCTTCTCCGCACAGTAAAACCACCTGTTTGGTGTGAATGGAGAAGAATAACTTACGAGCATGGGAAATTAAAAAAAAATTTACCTCTGGTCCCATCTTCAAGAAATGACAGGATGATGTTCTCTAATAAACAAAGGGGCGGACGGGGAAAGGAAACACCCTGGGGCCAGGGAAAAGGGGCTTCCCAGGGTCCCGGGTGCCCCCTGGGTCAGGGTGTTGGGGCAGTCTGAACTACAGAGGAACGTCTTTCAGCAAAGGTGCTAGTGACGGACCTTCACTCTGGGCAGAGGGTGGGGTGTGCCGGTCCTAGGGACATGTGGATCTGACTGAGCACAGAACGGGTCACAGCTCCTGTGAGCACCACCCAGAGCACCAGCTGCGAAAAGGGTGATGAACCCTGTGACTGCCACAAGGTCACACTGAGGAATCAAGACAGTAACCAAAGCAACAGTCACACCAAGGAATCACTGAAGACGGTAACCAAACCACCAGCCACACTGAGTAATCACAATAGTAACCAAACCAACTGTTACACCGAGAAATCACAACAGTCACCAAATGAACAGTTACACCCAGGAATTGCAACAGTAACCAAACCAACAGTCACACTGAGAAACTGCAACAGTCACCAAATGAACAGTTATACCCAGGAATTGCAACAGTAACCAAACCAACAGTCACACTGAGAAACTGCAACAGTCACCAAATAAACAGTTACACCCAGGAATCACAACAGTACCCACACCAACAGACACACCAGGAGAGGCAACAGTAATCGAACCCACAGTTCTTAGCACACCAGATGGTTACACTGAGGAGAAGGCAACTCTAAGGGGCCAACAAGATTCTGGTGGCATTTTGTTGGTGATGGGAGGGGGCCCAAGTCTACCCCCTGAATTTCCACAGGGGAGGTCAATCGGAGAAGCCAGGACGGTGTGCACGTGCGCACGTGCAGAGGTGAGAAGCTGGGGGGCCTGTCCGTGGGGGTGCGGCAGGGCGTGGCCAGGGGACTGCCATCCCATCATTAGAATTCTGGGGGAACCAGCTGAATTCTTACACCACGTGCACATGTTACTTTGATCAAAATGATCAAAACAGACCTTTTGAAACCAGGAATGAAATAAACCTCTGCGCACTGTCTCTGCTTCACCAGTTAGCCCCATGCTCAGTGCTCTGTGCCTTGGTTTTCTAGCCTGTGAGATGGGGGGGGGGGGCTGCTGCGTAGCATCACTGCAGAGAGGAGGGGGTGGGCCAAAACTTGGAGAAGTTTCCACGTCATTATGGACCCTAATATTGAGCGGCTCCTGATCCTGAAGGGCACATCTGAAACAACAGAACCAGATCCGAGAACTCTGGCGTCTTGCTGTAGCACGCTCAGGCATTTCTGGGGGCAGTGTCAGACGGCTGACGAGCCACTGACTCGTGGAAGGCCATCGAGTCCGGCCTGAAAGAGGAGGACCAGGGTGTGGCCTGCACACGCCAAGGTAGGGGCTGCATATCGCACATCCACGAGATGGGCCACTTTGTGCAGCCACCGACACGCAGCAACTCGGAAAGTACCAAGGCAGGAGTGAGGAGGAAACACAGCGCTGTAGGTTGAGAGGCGCTCCACACGTCTCCGCGGGATGGGGGGTGGGAATGGTGCGTGCTGCTGAGCTGTGGCCAGCACATGGAGAACCACCGGGGAGCACTGTGCGCTCGGCCCGTCGGACACGTGTACGCATCGTACAGGTGTACAATGCACGTCTAGAGTCTGCGATGCTTCGGCGGGGACCTAACTCGGTGCGGTCACACCTGAGGGCGGGCCGCCCTCTGCAGACTTAGGAAGGTGCCTCCCACCTCCCGGAGGTGCGGCCTGGGAGGGGCTCTCGGGCGGCTCGGCGCCCGCACAGGCTGGGCGTTGGCCCGCAGGCACACCCAGGAAACAGTAACCGCCCTCCGAAGGGCCCCCCAGACGTGCCTGGGACCCGGGCGTCCCCTCCTGCAGCACCACCACAGACTCGGGGTCGGGCACAAGCTCCGCCCCACTTCCTTCAGCAGTTCGGCCGAAAAGTGCGCTGGTGGGAGCCAGGCAGAGGGGAACCTACAGGACGCGGAAGGACCGCCTTTCTGTGGGGACCTACGGATTTGTACTGCTCTGAAGTTTTTGGAGGGGAAAGGGAGCAGGTGGGGGTGAGGGTGGGCGGAGCTGGGGCGGTGCGGACACAGGTACAGGGGAGGAAAGAAAGGGCCCCCAGGTGACCCACACGTGGGGGGGCCCCACGGGCTGGCAGGGAGGCCCGCGTGCGGTCAGGCCAAGAACAGAGCGCGGGCTGCAGCCTTCGGGAGGAATCCCGAGGTGGCCAGAAAAACAAAAGCACTTTAAAAAACTTTTTGTTTTAGAAGGGAAGGGGGGGGAGAGGAAGAGAAACATTAATGTGTGGTTGCCTCTTGCACACCTTCCACTGGGGACCCAGCCACGACCCAGGCACATGTCCTGCCTGGGGATCGAACCAGCCACCCTTTGCCCTACAGGCCAGTGCTCAATCCACTGAGCCACAGCAGCCAGGGAACAAAAGCACTTATAACGCTGACCTGACGACCTCCGACCTCCAGGGCGAGGTGACATCACAAAGCAAAAAACGAACAGAGCCGGGCCGAGACTCCTCCGGGGAGGCTGGAGGCCATGCTGCACCTCGGACCAGAGTCAGCGGCTGTGTTTTCTTTTGTGTCCTCACAACTTGCAAACCGCGTTTCTTTCTGATCCTATCTACGTTGGAAGGGTGGAGAAAAGCTTTCTTAAGCAGCTTCTAAAATGCTGCTCTCAGGAGTAAAACCTGGCTTCTCTCCTTCTGTGGTGTGTCTTTTCTGTGCACTGCAGCCGTTTTCTGGAAACTAGCTCAGGGGGCACTTTTCAGACTGGTCTCTGTGTTTGCGATGCCCAGGAAATGATTAGCCAGTTTCTTCTTTCCTACAAACACCACTTACTTCTTTGCCAAATGGGAAAAAAAAGTCAACAAAACACCGCTTAAGACAGCAGAATTTTTTTTCAAAGAAAGTTCATTCATTTTCTGGGTGGAGTACTTCATGGTAAAAAAAAGAAAGAAAAAAAATCCCTCCAACCACACAGGCACACACCCGGGCCTGGCAATGCAGAGGAAGCGGGGGAAAAAAACTAAAACAAAAACAAACAACAAAAACACCCCAAACAAAAAAACTGCAGGGGGCAGGGGAAGGCGGAGGTCAGGAAGCCAGGGCGGGGCTGTGCGCTGCAGGGCAGGTTCCTACAGGTGCAGCCACGCCCAGATCTCGGCGAAGGTGGGGGCTTCGGGGAGGAAACCAACCCAGCCGAGGTCTCCAAACTGCAGGGACTGCGCTGGCCAATGGGGCGCTCAGGGCACAGCCACACCAAATTAGGAGACAGACGGGAGGAGGGGCCGTGGCCCGAGTTCTTAGAAAGGGCCTGGCTGCTGGGAGCTGTGGGTGCCAGGGAGCCCCCCACCTCACCCCAGGGCCGCTTCTTCAGGAACCACTGCCCCCACCCCCCAGCTCCCAGCCGGCACAGCCCGCTGCGGTCTCTGCAGAGGGTCCCCGGGAGGCGGGAAGGGCGGCCGGGCTGTTTGTAAATAATACTCAGGCCCCTCCCTCCCATGCAAAGGGTCTTGGAAAGGAAACCTCAGGGGCCTCTGAGGTTTCAGCGACACTGCTGCGCCGAATTCCGCAGCACGAAGATGAAAGGGTGTCAACAGGGACCCTCCCCTGTGACACCTGATTAAAGGCCCTCACGTGAGAAAGCCTGTCCCAAAGGTACTACTTGCTCCGAAACTATCTTACCAAAGGAAAACAAGGAGCCAGTCCCTGCCGGGCAGGGCGGGCATCGCGGCCCTCTGACTCCCTCCGCCCCAAGAGCAAGTTAAATCCCCACCAGGGGAGGCCGGGGCGGCCCCACTACCCGGCGGGAGGACAGTTCCGAGACTCGGTTCTGCTCGGCAAAAGCTCCTCCTCCTCCTCTTCCTTCTCCTCCTCGACTCACTGCCTCCCTCCCGACTTCGCTGCCAGGGCTTTGCTGAGTGTCCTCACCGGGTGGTGTCCCTATTCAGAACGTGACTGGAACTACGTTGGCTTTATGAAAGGCTCTCCTGGCTTGTAACCCACACACTCTTCCTTTCTGAAAAGTGCCCACTTGGCTGGACTGCAAACCGCTGTTCGTGACCCCGCCCTGTCTGAGGCTGCCTGCCACCCGCTGTGGTTGTCCCTGGGGTGTGGAGAGTGGCCGCGCCTGAACCTGGCCGGTGACACACTGGTGACGTCCCTGCAGGGGCTCTCAGGGGCTGCTGGGTGACGGGTCAGTGCAATGTCCCCCTCGGCTTCGCTGAGATGTCGTCATACACACCACACCCTGAGAGCTGTGTGACCGACCCCGCCACGGAAGTCCAGGATGCTGTCCCCACTTGGGAGGAAGCCCACAAGGACCGCAGTGGCTCCCTTGCAGCCCACGGCCTCGGTGGTCGCTCGCCGGCGTCCTGTCCCTGCAGGGCTGCCTGGGCTGCACGTTTCACACCAGCGGAGCAAGGACGGGGGTCTCCGCATCTAGCCCCCTTCACGCTCACCGGGACCGCCCACGCTCAGCTCGTCTTTTATGGCCCAACCACACCCCCTGTGGGGTGGACCTGGTGTTAGTGGCTGCTGGTGAGCTGAGAGACACCTGAGCTGTCCCCACTCCGGGGTCACTACGAATAGTGGGGCGGTGGGACCGGTGCACGGGGGTCGGGGGGCGACACTCTGTTTAACCCTTGGGGGACCGCCTTCCAAAGTGGCCGCCTCGCTTCACTGCGAGCGCGGTCTCTGTGTGTGTAAGTGGCAGGTTTCACAGCGACCATGGCATGTTTCCCACGACACTCAGGCCAGACGTCTGGGAAGCAGCGAGAACATGCGCTGGATTTTGGGTTTCAGGACAGAGCCACGGCGGAAACGAAGCCCTGGAATGAGCTCCAGGAGACGCCGTCTGCAGCGGCCACACATGCGGCTTCCGGGGGCCGTCACTCACCATCGTCATCGAAGTCGGGGTGGAGCGTCAGGAGTGCTGGCCCCGCAGAAAGAACGTGGGCCTCCCCGACGACCAAGACCAGGCCCAGCGCGGCTGCAGGGCCCTGTCCCCAGGCCTCCCACCCGCTGGACTGGGGGCCCAGACTTGGGGTGCGGGCCATGTTCAGTGCGGCCCGGACCCCGCTCCCTGCAGAAGAAAGACTCCAGGGGGCCGGCCCCCCAGGACTGGGTGCGAGCAGCTCCCAGCGCACGGCCAGCGTGTCACCGGCAGAAAACAGAGGCGCAGGTGGCACACTGACTATCGCAGGGAGTGAGCGGCATGTGGTTCCAACTGTGACCCTGGAAGGGGCAAGACACAGGGGCCGCCGAGGGAGGGCTGTGAGCAAGAGACGGGCCTGGTGCCTGGTGACAGAGGGACAGCAGAACTCGCTGCGAGCCAGTGGCTCTGCCAGCAAGGCTCGCAGACGTGCCGAGAACCCCAGACCCGCAGAGGTGCACCGTGCCCTCCCCGCTGGGCTGGCCCAGACGCCCGGCCCTGCCGGCTGCGCCTGGGCCCCGGCGGGAGCTGAGGTGCCATCACCACAGGCAGGTGTGGTGACAGCAGTGTCAGGGCCACACAAGCAGAAAAGGAAAGGCAGCCAGTGGTGTCTTAAGACGTCCATGGTGAAGCAGGAAGCCAGCTCAAATGAACCGAGTCTCGCCCCACAAAATCAGCCTTCCCTTGCTGCAACGGAGGGGCGGGTGGGAGGCACGGACCGCCGAGAAGGCAGGGCAGCGCCACCCCACACGCAGACCGCTGGGGCACACCCGCAAGGCTACTGCGGCTCACACCCAGGGTGACAAAATCTGGGGACTTTCCTTTCTTCAAAGTCTAGATCAATTTCTAAAAGTTCACAAAGAATTTCCACAAAGTTCAGCAGGTCCTGGCATAGAAATACTACTACTTCCAAATAGTTTGTGTCCTGAAAAACAACACCTGCGCTCGCTTTAAAAGGCCCCAAGGTACGAAATACCCAGCTGGCGAAGTGGCGCTGTGCACCACGCACAAGACGCCGGGCGTCTGCCTCACTCTCAAACCGCTTGCGCACAGGCACCCGCGCTGGAGAGGAGCCGGGCCCAGCGCCCCCAGTGGCCTGGAGCGCGGGGGGCGGGGCTGCTCACCTGATGGTGCCGGTCGGCGAGGGGATGGGGCTGACCAAGCTGCGCAGGTCCGGCTCCGGAATGTGGATCCTCAGCGGGGAGATCTGCGGGTAGAGCGGCCGCAGGGGCGAGGCCGGGGCCTCCTCCTGCGGGAACAGCGCGGTGAACTGGATCTTGATGGCCGTGCTGGGGAAGCGGAAGGTGCACCTGCGGAGGAGGGACAGCGCTGCGTGAGGCATGGAGGCGAACGAGGGGGAAGCACAGCGTGGCGGAAACGCCCTGGTCCGTCCAGGGAGCGGGGCCCATGTAACGTGCGCTCGCCGCTGCCCTGTGTCCGGCCGCGCCGACCTCGAGTCTCCTCTGCTTCCACTGGGGCCCAAACTGCTGCCGACGCTGGTCCCCCTTTGATGTGCATGAGGACAGCAGAGACACGAGTGTCCCCAGACAGACACCTGTGATGGCATCTCCAACGGAGGCCCCAGACAGAGCTGCTTCCTGCCCCAGCACACGGGACGCACTGCCCCACGGAGAACGCTGGTGGGGAACCGAGGCACTGCGAGCACGGTGGCTACAGTGACATTAGTGACCGAGGGACACGAAGGAGCTGCTGGCGGGGTCCTGGGAGCGGGCGGGACGGGCGCAGTCCAGGTGACCGGCCTCAGCCAGCTCTGGGATCTGGAACCGGCGGCTTGGTTTTCTCTACAGCAGAGGCCCACAGGCTGATGTGCCAATGCCCACCAGCTGCTGGGGCCACCGTGCCGCACGTGTGTGTGAGCCCAAGGTGTCCACTTCGGGGGAGTTGGCCCTGGTCAGATCGGGGCACTAGGTACCCAGCAGGCTGTCCGACGTCTAAGCGGACCAGTTATCAGCAAGTGCTGACTGTATGACTTAGTCAATGACAAGGACCTAGATAAAAGCAGGCCACCCACGAGGAGAGAGGTGACACCCCCCACCGGCAACAACTGCTCAGAAAAGGCTCTCTGCAAAGAAGGGGCTGGGGCTCGGAAATACACATGCAGACACCCACCCCCGCACACCTGCGACCCGCTGAGCAGGTGGTCGGTCAGGTGGTGCCACTGACCCGGGGGCCGCGCTGCAGTCTCCTGCTCCGCTCATTCAGCGGCCCTGTTTGAACAGCGAATGCACCGCCAGCCTCCCTTGGACACAGCAAACATCCCCTACATTTGAGTTCTCTTTTTCTCTTAGTAAAATAATCTTTAAAAAACAAAATTTGCCTCAGACGGTGTGGCTCAGGGGATTGAGCGCTGGCCTGTGAACCAAAGGGTCACCAGTTCAATTCCTGGTCAGGGCACATGCCTGGGCTGAGGGCCAGGTCCCCAGTAGGGGGCAGGCAAGAGGGAAACACACACTGCTGTTTCTCTCCCTCTCTTTCTCCTTCCCTTTCCCTCTCGAAAATAAATAAACAAAATCCTTTAAAAAACCGCCAAAAAACAAAAAACAAGATTTAAGAACAGGTTGCATAGCGACCAGATCAGAAGAGCTAGAAAAAAGGGCCCTAGTGGCCTCGGGGTTCCCCGGCGCCTTCCCCTCGGGGACCCACTGCTCCCGCTCTGACTCAGCAGTGCGGCCACCTGCCCCGAAGGCCTCGGCATCTCACGGAGCAGGGCAGCGACTCTGATGGGCTCCGCCGGCCAACACTGCTCTCCCGGACTCGGAGCACCGGGCCAAAGGAGGCAGCGGGCAGCCTGCGTGGAGCCCCGGGCGCCTTCGACCCACAGGCACACGCCAACCCGGGGACCAGACGCCTTCCCGGCACCGCCCCCGCCGGGAGCTCTCTGGGTTCTGGGAGAAGCAGCCCAAACACCAAAACGGCAGGGGTGGGGGATGGGACGCTCTCTGCGTCGAGAGCCCCCCCAAGCTTCTCCGGAACTGTTCTGCTGTCTTCCCCTCTGAGCCCCAGTCCCGGGAACACTGCCACCTGCCCCCTCGCTGCCGTCCCCCCAGGGCCCAGCGGCCCCTTCCTCCCTCAGTCTCCTGGTGAGAAAGTCACATCACACCCCTCCCTGAGGTGCCTTCCGAGGCCTATGGTCTCTCCAGACCCCGAGCCCTGCTGGCTTTTGCAGGCCGCAGGGCCACCAGCCGCCCCGGCTCCTGTCTGGGGTGGGCTGGGCGTCCCCGAGACAGAGAATGAAGGACAGCGTTTGGGGCCACAAATGTGGCCGGAGCTCCCCGAAGTCGAACTGAGCCAGGCTGCAGCGGCTCCGCCCGGAGGGACAGACGCATGCGCGTGGGTGTGTGCACACGCCTGCCCCGAGGGGGTGGCTAGGACAACGACACTAGTGACAAATGTTTGGGGACGGTCTCTCAGGCCTTTGCCATGTGCCCCTCTCAGTGCTGTGAATGGGCAGAGTTTCACTTCCCCACCTACGCACAGGGCCGCGCTTGGTGTTGCGGGGCCGCACTGCGCGAGGCCTGGTGCCGGCTGAGGTCATATCCTACTAGGTCATCGAGGCCGCCCGGAAAGAGGATGTGGCTTCAGCCTGGGACAGGTCACAAGGCAGATGGGGAGTCAGAGAGAACAGGGTACAGGGTGAAGACCAGAGAGGGCCGGGCCCAGGCTCCAGCCCGGGTATGTAATCTCTGTACCCACGGACAACAGGCACCCTTCTTTTCCCTCAAAAATCTGGGCAAACACGTGCGCATTATATGCAGCAAAATATGGTACATTTTTCCAGCCTCAGTTCCCAAGGCCGCCTCCTCCAGGGAGCCTTCCTTGAGTGTCTGGCTTGTCCCCTGTGCCCCCCTGGAGGGGCTCAGGCCCCTCTGAGGGCAGGCTGACCTGACCACATGCTCCCCAGGATAAGGGGGAGCACCGCCAGTCTCTCCTCACCACACACAGCACACACATGTCCACGCACGCAAGCGAGAGGCCAGCGCGCACACCTCCTTTTTCACTTAAAGTCCCCCAGGAGGCGAGTGCAGAGACTGCTGGACGGCGCAAGGCAGGAAGTTCTCCCCAGGATGCTGAGTGCCATGGTGACGGGAGGGCAAGCATCTGTGGAGCCTCCAAACCAGAGACGTGTTTAGACTTTTTCGATCCCAACCAACTTTGCAGGGATGAGAACACACCCCTGCTGCACTGAGCAGAGTCCACAGGGCGAGGAGCCGGGAACGTTCGGTGGGAAGGAGAGGGCCCACGACCGCACAGAGCACCGGGGGTGCCGACTGCACTGTGCCAGTCCACGCCCACGGCGTTTAAAAAGGGAGGCTGGGGCGTGTCTGTGTGGTGGTTGGTCGGCGTCTGCCTGCTCCAACGCTCGTCTGAGTGAGAGGGAGTTGCACGCGGAGGCTCCCCCCACCCCAGGGACAGCTGCCTGTGGGACTCTGGCACCTCCGCTGAGGCGCCCGGCACGTTTCCCTGTGAGAGAGCCGGGCCGTGGTCACAGCTGACACACCAAGGACGCCTCTGCGGAGGATGTGGGCCACCTGCTCCGGGCCGGCTGAAGCCCCGCCCCTTCCCAGCACACCCCCCCCCCCCCCAGCCGATTGGACATGTCAGAGCCAACTGCACGGCCAAGAGGGAGCGAGAAAGCAAAGATGTGTCCCCCCCCGCCCTTCACTCTCGGGCGGCTACAATAACGGAATCAGCCCACGTGGGTCCAGTGGGAAAAGCAGCCGGTCCAATCACTGTGGGTGTCTCAGCAAAGCTGCACCCCACACTGGTCTAAGGTGCTGTCTCTGCTCTAGCGAAGGGAAATGGGGGGCTCCCCATAGTGTTCTCGGGGGCAGGAGGAGCTGAGGACTAGAGCAGCAGCCCCCACCCTCCAAAGGAACCTCAGATTTAAACGGCAACACTGACCCACAGGGCCGTGCCCTCGGGAGCAGCTGGAGAACAGCGTCTGCAGAGGATTCGGGTGAAAGGGCGCACCAGGCGGTGGGCGTGGCACGCCTGCGTGGGAGAGTGCAGAAGGGGGGCGCCCACCCAAAGCCCACCTCCCTTCTCCATCCTTCCCCCACCCCATGTCTCCAGCGGAAAGATACCACTTCCCACCTCCCTTGAAGCCAGGGATGAGCAGGGAAGAGTGAGCCGCACCTGCCAGACAAGCCTCAAAAGAAGATGCTACGGCACCTGCCCATCAGCCCTCCCGCCCACTCTCACGGGGAGGTGAGCTGTGAGGACGGTGCTCCAGCAGCCACGCTGCTCCAGGGGTCGTGGTGGGATGGGAAAACAAGGCAGCTGAGCGGGCAGGGCCCTGGGACACACCCACTCACACACGCACTCACACACAGGGCGGTGCAAACCTCTTACCCTCCACACGTCCCGGATACAACAAAACTGCTTTTCTCTAGAAAGGAAAGGATGTCATGGGCAAGTGTATCTCTACTCGGGGGAGGGTGGGGCGCTCCGGGAGCCCCTCTTGCAGAGCTGTGATCAGTTTCACACCCACAAAGTCAGACCCTGCAATACCCAAGGCCCTCAAAAAAGATTAAGGAGCAGAAAACGCAGGGTCACCAAGTGTCTTTGAAATGAATGGCCATGATTTTGAACAACATCTGCTTGAAAGAGGGAACAGGAGGTGGAAAATGCTTCCTGATTCCTACCGGCCCTCGGTGGCTGTGCGGTGGTCACCATGGCAACCAGGACACTGGCCAGCAGGCACGCAGCCACCGACTGTGGACGGACAGGGACACGGAGCGCGGCCGGGCCGCTGCCCAGCACTGGCGTTGCTGCCCCGCTGCAGTTCTAGCCACTGATGCCTCGCAGAGACGGTCCTGGAGAGAGTCGGCGGCCACCTCTGGACACTGGACACAGAACCGCTTTGAAGAGACCGGTGGAGCCGATGGTCTCAGGCGACGCCAACCCACCAGCTCTTTCGCTAACTGGGCCCATCTGGGTGGGGCAGCACCCAAGTTGTCACAAAGAAACCCTGCTGTCCTCGCCTCGTTCTGGGAGGGGAGGGAGGCTGACTCCAAGGGAGAGGACGTTTTTCACTTGGCGACACCAGGTGGGAACCGGCCCAACGCAGCCTCTTGTCCGGGTCCCAGGGAAAACCGCGCGGCAGGTCCCTCTGGCCAAGGAAGCGCCCCCAGCGCACCTCTGAGCCGAAAGGGGAACTCTGGCACGTCTTTCGGGAGTTTCCAGAACGACGGGCACTGAATGATACCGGGGTGGGGACCCTGGGAGGGAGGAGACAAAGCTCAGTCTGTCTCCTTGCTGTTTGTCTTTAGGTGGCAACAGAGGTGCC